TTCATGTGGATGAAGTCATGTGTGGCTTTCTAAATATTATGATTTAAAGTCGATAGTCAATTCTTAAATTTTATGATTTGAAGCCATCGGTGGCTTTCTATTTGTCCGGATGAAGTCGTCGGTGATTTCTCAATTAATATGATTTGAAGTCATTCGTGACTTCATAAATTTTATGCTTTGAAGTTGTTGGTGGCTTCTCATTTGCATAGACAAAATCATCCGTGGCTTCCCAAATATTATGATTTGAAGTCGACTCGTGACTTTCTAAATTTTATGATTCAAAATTGTTGGTAGTTTTTCATTTATATGAATGAAGTCGTCAAAGACTTCCTAAATTATATGATTTAAAGTCGTCGCCGACTTTCTAAATTTTGTGATTTAAGGTTGCTAGCGGTTTCTCACTTGAACCGACGAAATCATAAGTGGCTTCCTAAATGTTATAATTTGAAATCAATATTGAATTTATAAATTTTATGATTTGAAATCGTTGGTGACTTTTTCTTTGTGTGGAAGAAGTAGTCGGTGGCTTTCCAAATGTTATGATTTGAAGTCGATAGTGACTTTTAAAATTTTATGATTTGAACTCGTTGATGGTTTTTCACTTATGTTGATGAAGCTATTAATGGCTTTCCAAACATGTTTAGATGTTTTGTTATTCGTGGAAAAGAAACCGTCGGTGGCTTTCCATATATCCGGACGAAGCCTTCGATTGCTTCCAACTCGATTTAGTTGTTTTGTTGTTCGTTGAAATAAAGTCGTCGGTGGCTTTCAATTTATATAAGTGAAGCCGTCGGTGACTTCCAAAACTTGTTTAGTTGTTTTGTTGTTCGTTGAAACAAAGTCATCGGTGGTTTCCACTTATACGGACAAAGCCGCCGGTGGCTTCCGATCATTTTTAAATGACTTGTTGTTCACCAAAACAAAATTGTTTTCACTTGTATGGATAAAGTCGTCGATAGCTTCCTAAATTTATGATTTGAAGTCATCGGTGGTTTTTCATTTGTGTGAGCTAAATCGTTTATGACTTCATATTCATGTCAAAATAGGCTCACATTCATATTCATTTATATAGACCTTTGAATGTACCTAAACACCGAACTACTCAACCATTACATCCCAATAAAATAAATTCAATTAAGTAGGGATAGAATCATAACATAGCAAAACAAACTTTTAGTTTCATATGCATACAATGTAGCCAACCTCAAGTAAGACAAGATGGCGGTGGTATAAATTTTTTCCATATGTAACTAACATTTTATTCATATATTAGTGTAGATCATTTTTATTTTACGATTTTCTAGTTCTCTCCAATAGCTAGGTGGCGACTTATGCCCACTTTGCAAGCCCATGTCAACATCTTTTTGTTACTTTCTCCAAGGTCTTGAATTAAGTTTTGTCGTTGCACACATGGATGGTAGCACCATAGTCATTCCATTAATCAAAGGTCTTTGTAGCATCAATCATGTTCGATTCCGTGATCATGATAATATACAAGTCGAAATCATTGTAACAAGTGCATTTTTATTATTGACCATATTTATAGTAATGGCATTTCCACCACTCACTTCTTTTTATATCAACAATCACGCTTGAAATGGTCTTTCTTTTCGCAATGATAACAAGACTTATTGGTTTTGGTTTTCGCCGCATTAGAGCCAAAAATTCTTGTAATTTTCTTTTCTTTCCTCTAAACTCGCTTTCTCCAAAATGTATTCTTTCCTCCCGAAATTGGCTTCATTTCATCTACATATTCATTTTGGAAATAGTTTCAACATTCATTTTCTACAAATTTAGAGGATCTTCCTCAATCCTAAGATGTGTTTCGAACTATTTCAAAATAAATTTTTCAATGGTACGAAACATTTTCTTATTGTAATCGTTCCAACTATGGGGTAATTTTGTAATTATGATAGAAATCTATACTTTAAACTCTTTCAATTTCAATACCATAACGGAAAAGTCATGTACTTGATCCATAATAGAAAGATTATCAATAATTTTAAATTCAAAAAATTTCATAATGAGAAACTTATCTTTCTTTTATTTTTCAACATTGTATTTGAATTTCGACACTTTCTAGATTTTTTTCAAAGACTAAACATCGGTGAAGAGATTGTATAATCGATATGACAATGTGTTGAGAAAGTGATCTCTACATATTACTTCATCGTCAACTCGTTTCTTTCGTTCAATCTTGAGTTGTTAAGAATCGTCATCCTTTGGTCTTAGGAGATCTACAAAAATTGGGTCTTGCACGTAAACAACCTTCCTTTCAATAAGTATGAACATTAATTTGAGCTTCCATTGATCGAAATTCATTGCATCAAAACGATCTAGTTTTACCATATTCTAATCCACCACTTGAAACAAACTCTCTGCCATTGCTTACATATTTCATCGTAATTATCTTAAGATTATTGTTGTAGAAAAATAACAACTACGGAATTAGAGATAAAAATAAAAAATCGTAATGCTTAATGACGTGTAGAAATCACCCACACTATTCTTAAAGTGATTATTTGTTCCCACCATAATATTGTAGGGATTTTGGCAATTCAACTCTAGTATTCAATTTTCGCATCTAGGGAATTATATGTAGCACTTCTTAAATTCTTTCAACAAAATTTCTCTTGAAGTTTTAGAGTTTTAAAAAGAGAAGAATTTTGAAAGAAGTATTGCGAAAAAAAGGAATAAGATGTTTTGCCTAGTGCAGTATTCCTCTATTTATAATTTAATGAAACTTTTTAATAACAAACGTGATCGTTGAAAATTTAATTTGATTGAATAGTTAACTATTAAATTCTAATAGTTATAATTCAATAATCATATTTGTTTGAAACCCGAAACTAATCGTAACAAAAAAATAATAATTAAAGACGTAATTAATTAATACAATTATGAATTTAATTAAAACATGAAATAAAAAATAAATTTAAAACTTAATTACACATGCTAAGTGGTACTCTATGACAGTCATATTGGTTTTTCACTTGTACTTCTGATCAACATGATTGTAACCAAAATACTGTTCTTTATTCGTTTTTTTTTTTTTTTTTTTTGACATATTGGAGGAAAGCAAAAAATAAAACACATAGGGTACGTAAAAGGCTAAAACAAGAGCATATTCCCCTCCTTCCAAACTAAAGGTCTTAAAAGAATTCCTTTACGCAACGTACTCCTAAAAAAAAAAAAAATGTTTCGCTGGGTTATTGACCTGTCATGCAAGCGCCCCTACCATTCAGATAAAAATAAAAGCTAAAGAGCAAAATGCACCGTGTTACTTATAGGGTCCTACATGCATCTTAAAAATTCTAAAATTTACATTATCATGTTTAAAGGGTTTAAGCTATGTATTTTAATGAAACCATCGCCACAATTCTCGTGTTCAGATACAATACATAACCGATCTTATGTTATTGAAAATTGGTTTAAATTAGTCCTTTGGTTATTTTTTCTGTTAGCTTGACTAACTTTTTTTAATTAACTTATGAATGATCAATATAATGTTAACACCTATCAATTTAGGAGTAAAAACATAATTTTCTTTTTTTCTGACTTGGTTAATAGTTAAAATCATTTTAAAAGATGTGAGTCAAAACTTAATCATTTTAATTTAATACGTCACGTTATATTGTAAATTTATCAAAATAGATCGAAATAAAAGTAATTTTTTTAAAAAATAAAGTCTAGTAACTTTTTAATCAAAATCTTGTATTTATTTGATCATTTTTTAAAAAACCTACAACAATCTAAATAGAAAATTGAATACATAATTTTTTTTAAAAAAACCTTACTATCTTCTCCATAAGGTGGTATAAAAAAATAAATCAATAATTAATATAAAAAGTTGTTAAAAATTAACAAAAAAAATATAAATTTAATTCTTACTTAATGCTCATGAGAAATTTTTTTTTTAAACATACACATTTAAATTATATATATTGAATCACAAAAAAAAATTTTTTTTTAAAACATACACATTTAAATTATATATATTGAATCACAAAAAAAAATATCAATAATATAGCATTAAAAATTATGTTTTAATTATCGGGTGGTTCTTTTATAAAGTAAATTATAAATTAATCCCTCTCATTTTGAGAAACCAATTAATTAATCCTTCTCATTTTAAAAACTAATCATTTAATTCTCATATTTTGAAACATACTAATTTGTTTTTAATTAGTTTTGATTTTTTTGTTTAAAAAATAAAAAATATTAAAATACTTATAAGAAAATAAGAGATTTTGTAAAATAAAAATAATATAATCAAATAATTAAATAATATTTTTCAAAATAAAAGAAACTAATTAATTTTTTTTTCAAACTAGAAAGACTAATTTATAATTTACTCTTCTTGTAAAATATTATTTTAATTATTTTTATTAGAAATAAATTAAATTCATAATATCCAAAGAGATAAAAAAATTAATAGTGAATAATTATTTTTATTGTGTATAGATGCATGATTAATTTTTTTAACATCAATGATTCAATATATATATGTGTGTGTTAACATAGTCTTAAAAAAAAAAAAACAATCATTTTTTCAAATTTTTATCAAAACAATTTTTAAAAAAATAACTCACATTTTAAAAATTTATTCAAAAATCCATAAATAAGAAAAAAAACAAATTAATTTCTCTACCAAATGAAGTTACATAAAAAAAAAGAAAAAGAAATTAATTGAAAAAAAGATAAATAAAAAAGCATTATTTTAAATTTTGAAAGCAAAAAAAAAAAAAACAGAAATATCAGATTCAAGCAAATATATTCAATTTTTTAATCGTAAAGTATGGAAAAAGAAATACTTTAACCTCATAAATTTAGCACAAAATCAGTAAAAAAAAAAAATGCTCCAAAAATAAGGACAAAAAAACAAAAAACAAAAACAGGCCTGCTGAAGCAGGTTTTGAGCCTCGGGCCTGGGCTGGCCTAGCAAAAGAAAAGAATAAAATAGGCCAGAACCTCAGCAGAAGTTGTTGAAAGTTATTAATAAGATCCGAGTGGATTCGAACCACCAACCTCTCAAAACCCCATTATAGGACTTCGAGCGCTCTACCGTTTTGAGCTTACAGATCTTCTCACATTTAAGAGCGGACCTCACAATAAAAGTCCATAACCTCATTATCAGTTTTATCATCATTCTTCTGTTTTCCCCCCATTACCTCATATTATCAATCTCGTCCTACTGAGATTCTTTTGCTTTTCAAATGCATATATATAATTAAACTAAACAGGTTAAAATAAAGCATAAACAGACCCAGAATTTTTTTATAACAAAATGGAAATCCAAGAAAACAAGATTCCTAATAAACACTAGTTTTTTTTTATTTTTCATCTTCTCCTTAAGTATAAAGGCCAAATAAAATAAATCACCTGCTTGGGTAGGAGTGTAAAAACCCAATTGCATGCAGCATAATGAGATTAAAAAAAGATTAAGCCATCAGATAAAAGCTTTATGCCTGACATTTTTCTTGGGCTTCCAAAATAAAAAACAACACCATTACCATTACCCTTGCTTTGCAGAATTTTGGTCAGCGTCTATCACCAATCACAAGCATTTGATCAAACATACATTTTTTTTTTCGAATTGCAAAACATTTATTCTGAAAAAAAGAACACTTTTCAATCCACGAGAAATTTATTTACCCGGTACTTTCATAAACCAAAATGCTCCTTTAAATTCTGAAAATCTTTTGAATTGCATAAAATTAATTTAAAAAAAAAACTGACAAATTTTTGAATAGAAAAATATTTATTCTCAAAAAAATTTTAAAAAAATTAAAACTCCATTCGATCCATGAGATTTATTCTGAAGATCTGAATACAGTTGACAGCTTTCCCCCAAATAAGATCAAAGTCGTTTGAATCGCATAAAATTTATTTCAAATAAATTAAAACTCTTTCCAATCTCATGGTAAAGTATAACAGTCGGTAAACTTCCCTATAAATAAGATCAAAATTTTCTGAATTGCATAAAATTTATTTCATAAAAATTAACTCCATTCAATCCATGAGAAATTTATTTACATGCATTTTTTAAAACCAGAATGCTCCTTGAAATTTTAAGATCTGAAGTACATTTTTTTGCCTTCCAATTTTTTTTTCTTCGCATCACAATAAAATCCCATTCCAATAAAAAATAAAATTTTACGTGATAAAATTATTAATCAGAACAACAGATCAAATATAAGAATTTTCATGGACTGACAAGATGCAAACTTATTCTATTATATAGGTAAGAAGTATTTACCCAAAAAAAAAAAAAAAAAACCCCACAAAAAGAGATGAACTATCAAATCAAGGGATGAGATAACACAACACACATTGGGAGCTACCATGATACAATAGCATTCCCATAAATAAAACAAGGCGTTTTCCCACAGCCAAAATGATAAGAAATTAAACTCGATCTAAAACAAACCAAATTAAACCGTAGCACCGCAAATTTTTAACTATGAAACTACATGTGAAAATAATAGCAAATGATAATAAATTAAACCCAATCTAAAATAAAACTAAATAATGAAACAAATAGCACCGCAACTTTAGAAGCATGAAACTACATACGAAATAATAGTATTTTATTTTTCTTTCAGGTGGAAAAGGAAGGAACCATTGAAGAACTTGATCACCTCTATAACTGGAACAGGATTGTGTTGCTCGATGGAGAATGCTAAGAAGAGACTCCTGGGCTCTCTTCCCTTAAAAGCAAGGGTCATTGAAATCGAGCAGTGAAACGACTCGAGTCTTCACATCACAAGATGAGAACCGCCGTCAATGATGTCTACAAATCCATCTCCAAAGCAACTACTAAGGGCTACATCCCCTCCGACGCGGACAGAACCAACCAACAAAAGCAAATTGCAAATCACAATACTAGGTATAGTGACTTCAAACTAACCCCGGGCTTTACAAGGATACAACAGAGCACAGGGCTTTACAAAGATAGAATAGAGCACATGAAGTTAATTAACATGAAAAAATATATAAGCAACATTTTAATAGCAAGTAGATCGTAATTAGATAGGTAAAGTAATATAAGCAAGATCTTAATAGCAAATAGATCGTAATTAGATCCTTAGTAACTTTAAGCAACATCTTAATAGCAAGTAGATCGTAATTAGATAGGTAAAGTAAAGGTAAAGTAAATCTAAACGAACAAGTTATCATGTTTGCTTTGGATGAATAAGAAATACGTCTATGATAGGCTTTGCAGGTTTGCTCAATTAGATCCTTAGTAAATTTAAGCAACATCTTAATAGCAAGTAGATCGTAATTAGATAGGTAAAGTAAATCTAAACGAACAAGTTATCATGTTTGCTGCTTTGGATGAATAAGAAATATGTCTACGATAGGGTTTGCAGGTTTGCTCATTGATAATGAAACTAACTTAAAAGCTTGTTAACTGCAAGGCGAACCCATATATCAAAGCTACAAAATTTTGTTATGTAATAACCACGGACCGTTGAAACATGTTTTAGTTGAATTTTTTTAATAACCCATGAATATTTGACGGTCCCAAACATAAATAAAAATGATAAACCAGATTACAATTCTTCATCCCTCGCTGATGACTGATTTTAAATGGTAAAAGTAGGCACTGATTCTAGATGAGTAGAAACTTTAATTACTGATTCTGACTGCAAAAAAATCGAATTGAAGATATAAGTGAGAGAATACCTTTTCAGTCAGCGTCACAAATAGCAATATTATGCAGATTCCAGCTGAATTTCGTGAGCGCTATCATGTTCAGCGAGTGATTGTAAAGCATAGATAAGAGAAGCACAGAGAGGGGGCACTGGAGCAATCCCCATGCTAAATGATTGCAACGCTGAAGTTGGAGTACCTCGTGAAAGTTCAGCGCTAGCAGAGTTGAGCAATGATTGGAAGGCAAACACAAGAGAAAGCGGGACACAGACAGCAGAGGGGAGAACCCGGGAATCCCCGTGCGATCTCCCCTCAGAAACACGAAGAATAATTTTATTAAGATTGTGGGTGACCTGCCATGCAAGCGCACCTGTCATGGCAAAGGCCGGATGACAAAGATAATAAACAAGACCTTAAGCCTCCAACAATTAGGAGGCCTTTTGGTCCCGATATGTATCTTATACATCCTCATAAACAAATCAAACAACACCACCAGATCTCCATCATGTCCTTCCCCATCTTCTTCTCAATCAACAAATTACACCACATGATACAACATAACAGCTCAGATAACCGATCTCCAGCTACGGCTACATCAAGCAACGGGTTCAGCGGATTCTAGAGATGCTTACTGCCCAACAACCTGCATAGAAAAAGAAAGCATACACCCGAAAGGGTAGAGCCTGCGAGAATTCGAGCTACTGCGACAGGGCCGCTCCATATCTACAAAACAAAATCAATTTGAGCTGATTAATAGCAATATCAAAAAATCGACTGAGAGAAATCCAATCATTTCAGCTTACGAACATAAGCAACCACCAATACATACCTCGTAGCTGCCTACAGACTCCTACGAAACCTTCTGACATCTAAACTGATATCAATATGTAGATCTCAAAGCGATCTAATGGAAGGTGGAGTAGAGAAAATCATTGGATCACCCATGAAGGTTAGATCTAGAGAACTCTGAGCATGATTGTTAAGGCAAGAAATGAAGGCTGGCTGGGTATATGTTTATATAGAGGGTTTGAGAGAATGGACGGACAGGATTGATGGTTTCGGTTGAATAATAGAGGGATGCGATTGAGTATACGTGGTTGAGTTGTTGCCTTGTTTGTTAAGCAGGTGGTGGTGTAGAAATGGACGGCACATTTGACCTGGCAAGATGTCGACTTTTCATATTCGTAGTAATTACGCTAGTTGAGATTGCGATAAGTTCGAATCAAAATTTGCGACTTTTTCCAGCAAGGTATTGAAAAAGTTGGCTTTATTGAATTGGAACGTACGCATGTGATTTGTGACTTTTTTTTTTTTTTTTTTTTTTTTAACATTACGCGTGTGATTTTTAAATTAAATACAGTCAGTTTTTTAATATCAACATTTCATCAATTTTTTATTTAAGAAATAAAATAGAAAAAAATTAAATGTAGAAGAATAAATAAATTATAAACGTTTTAAAAAATGCAAATTAAATTTATAGTTTTTCAGTCAAAGAGTATAACTCTAAACAAACACAGAAAATTAATTAATTCTGCTTATTTTTAAAGAATAATAAAAATATTTGTATATTTTTTTAATTTTAATTGCTTTTATGATAAAATTTCTTGCGAATATTAAAGAATATAATAATAAATATATGATATTATTTGTTTGTAACCAAACACAAAAATTGTTATTTCAGTATTTTATTCTGATTCTCTATAATAATCTATCAAACACAATAATTGGATTTAGATTGTAATTCTAATTCCTTAATTCTGATTTCGAATACTTTATTCTTAATTATCAAATAATAACTCAATGGTAGTGAAAACATATAACTCTAAAAAAAAAATTGCCACAAGCCTCAGAATGGAAATTAAAATTAACCCTAAATTTAATTTAATTTAATGGGATTCTAAAAAATTTCTTTAACTGATCAAAAAATCACTTGCTCCATTGGGCAGAATGCAATGGGGCCTATCACCTATGGGCCAAGGCCATTGCATTGATTAGTGCCGTGAAAACGGATCTATTTGTTTGGGAATTTGCATTGATTGGTGCTTTTGATAGAAAGACATTTGATGGGTGTGAATGGAGGAGTCCGTTACATATTTGCAAGCACAGGAGGCCTTATTTGTATAAAATGAACGTGAAAATATTCAATATCGACAAGTTATTAGTAATTAAAGCAGGATAAATACAAAATTCAAAAATAATATTTATCAAAAAACAACTTGAAAAGGTGTCCAATAAATAAATGATAAAGAAAAAATGTCTTTTTTTTTTTTTTGTAGAAATTCAACATCAACTCAATTGAGTAGCCACAATAGTTTTCAATAAGCCCTATTAATGACAATTCATTAAAGAAAAAAGATTAACGGGGATAATCGTTATATATTGGTAAAAAAATTCCCCAAAATGATTAGAATTTGATTTTATTAATTTTTTTAACGACAAATAAGAATTTTTTAAAGAGAAAATAAGAATTTAGATCGGTCTCATTATAATGGTGGCATGCATATTTGACATGACATTGAGATTATTAAAATCTTTTTTTTTTCAGTTCTTTATAGTTAAGTGGTCATTTTTTGTTTTTATTTTTTTGTATTTTAGGTATTCTCATCTCGAATTAGAGATTGCATTAATTATATTTAAATTATCGATAATACTGATAAAATTTAATCTTTTTCTGACAAAATTTAATTCTTTAGGCCCAGATGATTTCAAGATTCTGAACATTTTAAAAAACGCTTACTGTTAATAATAAAAACAGTCATTTGATTTGTGCTAGAAATACAAATTACTCCATCGAGAAACATAAATACATACGTGAAAATTAGAAACCATGGCTACTAGCATTAAAGCAAACGCTTAGTGCCAACCACCAGGTCAAGAGGTGGATTTATCAAAAAAAAAAAAAAAAACATCAACAGCTCTGTTTCTGGATGATTAAGTTCTTCAGACTAATTAATTAAGACTCTGCATTGGTTTGGAATCGTGCTTTCTCCTTCTCTGTCACTTCACTTCCCTGAGTTTTGTCATAAGCTTCATGGAAAGCCACAGAAACAAATAAAAACTTAAGTAATTTTGGTTAGACAAAAATAATCCATAAGAAAAAAAAGTGACAGCCAATTCTCTAAAGATGGGTGCCAAAAAGAAATGAGAGGCGTACCAGGGTGATTCTCATGGATTTTTTTGTCAGCGTCAACCTTAGGAAATGATTGATTCTCTCCATAAATCCCACCAAATCCTTCTTCATCGGACCTTGTAGCATACCCTTCTCCAAACGAATGAGACATCACGTCCCTAATTTTCATTGTAATCAACCAAAACCAATTCCATAAATTAAGGTACATCTAATACTAATTAACTAGATAGGTAGCAAATAACAACAAGATCAAAGAGTTTGAATCTCAATGATATTGATTTCTTATTAGAAGAAGTCATAGGTTCAAATTCTAGCAGATTAATTCGTTAGAATTTACATTGTGATCAACCAAAAGCAATTCCACAAATTAAGTTACGTCTAACACTAATTAACTAGCTAGGCGACAAATAACAATAGAATCAAATAGTTTGTACCTAAGTGATATTGATTTCTTATAATACGAGGTCATGGTTTTAAATTCTAATAGATTAATAATTCTGCTAAAATTTGCATTGTGATCAACCAAAAGCAATTCCACAAATTAAGTTACATTCAATACTAATTAACTAGCTAAGCGAGTAAATAACAACGGGACTAAAGAATTTATAACTCAATTGTATTGATCTTTTACGATAAGAGGTTATGGATTCAAATTCTAACAGATTAATTCTAATAGAAGCCTTGAATTTATAAATTAAAAAAAAAAAAAGCAAATAACAACAGTTAACAACAATCTAAACCAAAACAGACCAAGCAATATCAACACTAACCCAGTTTTCTCATTAGCCTTGTCCATGGTTTTCTCTGGTTTGCCAGCCATGGTTGCAACCTGTCTGAAACTGACCCCTGAAGTTTTTCTACCAAATCGATTTGGAGCAAATAAGAAAACACTAGGTACTGGATGGGTTCGGACTGATCTAATCGCGTGATTCATCTTCTTATATATCTTGGTTTTCGAGAGATGTCTATCGTGAATTTATCCAAAAAAAATGTTTGATGTCGTTTGCGAATAGAAATGTGACATTAAAAGGTCTAGCAGTCAGCAATTTACCCCTATTCCTCAGCGCCGATCCTGGTCTTGATGCGGACATCATTTTGAGTAATGACACGTAACATTACGGATAAATTGTGGCAATCAAGAAAAGCCTATTGCCTTGAAAACTTGACACCTGTCCTCAACTCGTAACCAATATAATTTCAGAGTAAATTGTAAATCAGTCCCTCTAGTTTTTTTTTTAAAAACGAATTAAATAGTTTCTTTAATTTTAAAAACTAATTAATTAGCCATTAAATCTATGTAATTATTTTAGTTTAGTTTTAAGAAATAGAAAAAAATATAAAAATATTGATGAAAAAAATAATTTTTTTTAAAAAAATATAAAATTAATCATGATCAACACTTATCAATAAACTAATTAATTAATTTTTAGAATAAAAATTGTCTAATTTATTTTGCAAAATTTGATCAAATTTTAAAATCAATATTTAAAAAAATATATTTAATTTTTTTGAATAAAGTAAATTAATATAAAAATATATTTTAAAATCATCTGTTGAAAAATATAATTTTAATTGAAATACAAACTAATTTAAAAATAATATTACCGTTAAATAAATTATAAACAAAAAATTTGGCTTTTTTTGCGTAAGGTCTCCTATTGGATGAGATTTCGCCTATAAGAAATCATAGCCATTAGATTAGAACCGACATCATTAACCTCTCCACGGATCTTGATTGGTTATTATTATTATTTTTTTCCACAAGTAGAAATATGAGATTAAAAAGGCCTAGGAGTCAGCAATTGAGTACCTGTTCCACAGAGCCAACCCTTGTCTTACTGCGAATATCATTTTGCATCATGGCACGTAGCATTACAAAAAAATAAAAATATCGCAATCAGGACACGCCTGTAGCCTTGAAACTCGACACCTGTCCTCAACTCATAATTATAGCACCTTTCTCTCTCTATCACTCTGGGCCAAAGTGTCCTTTTCTTCTTTCTATGGCTGCCTCTGCCTTTTTCTCGGAATAATTGCATTATAAATATACTAACTTTCAAAATATTTTTTTAATAAATATATAAATGTTAATTTTGTTATTTAAAAAAATTAATTTTTTTAAAATTATCAATCAAATATTTTCATCAAATTTTCTATTAATTAATAAAGTTTTCATTATCCTCAAAATATCAAATTATAATTTTGTCATTTTTCTTAAACTTTGTTTTTTTCGGACTAAGTATATCAATTTTTTCAAAACTATCAATTAAGTATTTTCGTTAATTTTTTTATTAATTGATAACATGTCTGAATATCTAATTATATTTTTTTCATCTTTTGTTGTAAGAGAAACTTTTCCTTAAATTACTCTTTCATTTTAAAATTTGATAAAGAATTTAAAAAATTATTTTTAGTTGTAAAATTTTGAACTAAACTTAATAAGACTTACTGTTAAAAAAAAAATCAATTAGGTTTTGAAAATGAAAATTGAAGAAAGCATAAACGCGAGATTTTTCATCAAGAAGATTTATTTATATTTTTATTTAATTTTTACTTTTAAACCTAAGTTTTTTTTTAGAAAAAAATTAATCGATTGAGTTTAGTTTGAAATTTTAGATATAAAAAATAATTTTTGAATTATTTATCAAATTATAAAATAGTACAATAATTTGATGAGAAAGTTTATTTTAATAAAAAGATGATAAAATTATAATTTTGTATTTGAATACGTTATCAACTAACGAAGAAAGTGATAAAAATACATGATTGATAATTTAAAAAAAAAACTGATATATTCAAACAAAAAAATAAAATAAAATTCATGTATTTGATTGAGAAAAAATATAAAATTATAATTTAGTATTTTAAGAATATCATATACCTCATTAATTGACGAAAAAAATTGATAGACTCAAATAAAAAAAAAATTTATATACTAGATAAAAAAAATATTAAAAGATAAAAATTATTATATGTATAGCTCAATTACCCCTCTCTATATTAGTTACTCGACCTTGTTCCCTGTTTGATGCCCTGTGCTTAAAAAATATAAAGTGACTTTTTCTATGGTCACTCACGTGACCCACTTTTGTTTTGTTTTTTTATTTTTTTATTTACATGGGTTCTGAACTCCAACGAAAATAAACCCAACCCAACACGAGAGTAGACCCAACCCAATGTGTTTTTTTTTTTTTTTAAGTCATGACAAAGGTTCTTAATTCTGTTGTTAATATTATGGCCCTATATATGATTGTATATATAATTGTATGCAGGACAATAATTGGAAACCTAATCTGTAATAAGAAATTTGCTCCATCACTCGACGTTTCTATTAAGCGCAAATTCAAATGCGAAGTCATAAAACCTAACAAAAGAACTTCAATCTCACAATAAACTATGGAAGAATGAATAGCATAGCATACGAAATTCATGAGATCGCATCACGATTAGGATGCATCAAGATGCAGAAACCTCTTTCAATAATCGAATTAAATGAAACTAAAAACAAAAAAATTTCACCAATCAATAATCGAATTTTCCACTCCATATATGAATTGGTTAACTTATTCTCTGACAAAAAATATATATATATTTTACAAGTAATTTCTACAGAAAAAATAACCAAAAACAATTATCCTCCATTACCAATTATCAACAATAAAAAAATCTATGATTTTTTTTCCGCAATAAAAATATCCTCAAATCAGCTTGTGCATCTCTTCCTTTCTCGTAAGGGTTAAAGAACATTTTTTAACACATAATTTCAAATATTTCACATAAATTCTCAAAAATATTATAATTTGAGCACCAAAATGATATTCTAGACCAGAGCTATAAATCAACATTTGATTAATAATGTACTACCCCTTTGTGGTTAAAAAAAAAAACCACGATTATTAACCATGAAAAGCAACGTACTCATTCCTGTTCCTTCTAGGAAGCATCATAAACAATGCTCATGCCATCGCATCTTAACTATCCATCCGACAACTTGGTACAACTAAAAATTCTCAAAGCTACATCAGTGGGAATAATACATAATTACTGACATAAAAACAAACGCATAGTGCCAACCACCAAGTCAGGTGGATTACCAACAGAAAGGATAAGTATTGAAGAACGTTAACATCCCATCCTACAGAAAACAGAGAGAACCAAAAAAAAAAAACATTAATAGGTCTTTGGAATTTGTGAACAATGTTCCTCGAGTAATTAATCCTCGGCGTTGGGTTGGTATCGTGCTTTCTCCTTCTCCTTCACTTCACTCCCCTGAGTCTTGTCATAATCTTCATGCATGCCCACATAATTAAGGAAGTCGGAATTAATTTAGGCAAATTTAACTAGAGAACAACAGTGTATGCATAAGAAAAAATAAAAAATTGACAGCCAAGTCCCTCGAGATGAGTAACAAAACGAAAATACGTACCGGGATGAGACTCGTGGATTTTCACGCCAATTTCGACCTCGGTAATCGATTGATTCCTTCCATAAATCCCACCAAACCCTTCTTCGTCACACCTTGTAGCATATCCTTCCCCAAAAGATTGAGACATCAGGTCCCTGATTTACATGTCGACCAAAAATAACGCACCGAAGTTATGTACACGACTACCTAGCTAGCTAAAAACAATGATGAACAACAATCTAGACCAAAATATCAACCAAGATTAACACTTACCCAGGCTTATCATCTGAGCACTCATCATTAGACTTATTCTTTTGCTCACTCTCCGGCTTCCCAGCCATAGTCGTGACCGGCCTGAAACTGACCATTGAAGTTTTTCTACCAAGTTGTTGTTTTGTAGGAGATGAGAAAGCACAAGGTGGATAGGCTCTCAGCGATCTAATGACGCGATTCATCTTTTCTACGTGGCCCATCTTCGCATTTCCAGAGAGATCGATCTCTATATCGTTATTACAAATAGCTGAGATGTGTCATTTGTCAGTAAAATAGGATATTATTAGTCAGCAATTTAAAACTGATTGGATAGAACCGACCTTGCGCCTGCAAATATTCAATGTTATCTCATGGCAACGTATCAGTTCAACCAAAAACGTGGCAAGGAGAGAGCCTGCAACAATCGCCACCTTTCATGAGGGAATGTGCATGTCCATGGCTAATGGGTCACCTTTAAGGCCAATTGGGCTCACCTTCATCCGTGGTGCAAGATTGTCCACTCTGACTTGGGCTACACTAGAATAAAAATGGGCTTGGCCCATCTAGTGTGCTTTGGTATTTGAAAAAAAGAAACAAGCCAGAGATTTGCTGCTGCTTCTGTACTGTTAAGACAGAGAGGGATGGAGGTGGGGCAGTACCAGTTTTACACAGCTTAATTAAAAAAAAAGAAGAAAGTGAAAGGTCACTTTTTTTAAGTTCCTGTCTCCAGTCGGTGGGACCACTCGACCGTTGCAGCTGCCATACAACGTCAGCAAGCACATTCACAGTCAGAGGAGCAGCAGTTGTAGTGGTAGTGAGAGATCTCAGCTCTGATATAATCACCCATCAATTCATGACTTGACTTTACATCCAGATTCTAGGTCATTCTTTTTTCTTTTTCTTCTCTTTTTTTTTTTTTTTTTTTCTATTAGGATACAAAACCGGTATTTGCTTTTTTTTAGGATTTAAAACTCAAATAAAAATAGATTGTTCGTTGCCATTACGATTTTGAAAAACTCAAATAAAAATAGCAAATATAAATATTGAATTTAATCGAATGAAAACAAATTCGATAAAAACAATAATTATTAAAACTTCGAGTAGCATGTCGTCATCTCTATTTTAGAGACTTTCCAATGAGATCAGATTATCTATAGTCGGACTCTTTATATGGTGTCTTAATTTCATAAATCTCTTACCACAATTTATTAATAAGAAAACAAGGTATGATTGACAAAAGAATACATATTGTAATGAGATACTAAAGCCTTTCTCCAACATGAGATCCAATAATTTCACCATTTGAAATTCAAAAACAGCTGTAAATCTATTCTCTAACCCACTATGGATTTTTGAACAAACCAGTAAATAAAAAAAAAATCATGAACTTTAGATCATATAAACTTAAATTCATAATTATTTGGATTTCTAAAGACATCAAAATTAGTAACTAGATATGAAATTATTAAAACACACACACAAAAGATAGAAAAGTAAGTTGCTGCGTATGTAATTTTTACCTATCAAGAGTCCAAAAAAGTATTTTTAAGGAGGGCTCGTCTCTCTCCCTTCTCTATATTGATTTATTGACTAACCTTTTTTTACAAAAAATAATAATAATAAACAGTTTTTTTTTTAATAGTTCCAGTCTCAAATTTATTTTTACGTTTTTAATTATATTTATTATGTTTTTGAATAACGTATAAGTCTCCAATCTATCTTTTAGATTAATTTTTTTTAACAATAGATAAATTTTTTTATCAAAATGAAAAAAATACTTAAAGTCATATGGCTTATATATTCTATGTTTAAAATTTTTTATATAAATATTTCAGTAAAAAAAAATTGTCATTTAGTCAAAAGAATTGATAAAAAAGACAAGTTAGAGACTTAAACAATAAGTGATATCAAAGATATAATTAAAAATATAAATACAATTTGAAAACTCAAGATATTATATATAAGGACAGATAAATCAAAACTTTATTTTATTTTTATTTTTTTGCCAAAATGGGGTTTTTATTTTGTCATGGATCTGGCACCTTTTTTAAATTATTATTCTGCTGGGTTCTACGGGGTTGCAGGGGTGAGAATTCCAATAAGTTCAACATGGTGACGCTATGCTTGCTGGCATGTGAATACGGAGAAAAATACAAGGCAGGTCAATTCACCAAGGTAGATTTTGTTTACCAAGTTGCAGGGTGGATGACAAAATCTTGTCGTACTGGTTTATTTGTTGCCTTCAGAATCGCAGTTTTTAAGTTTGAACTTTTCCTTCAGAAACCATACTGTACAGATTACTGCAAAATCTCTTTTTTGATTCGAACAAGTACAGTTACAAGTATTATTAAGGGCCCTCTTGAGTCACGAGAGCTTTATCCCCCAATTCTGCAGACTTTTACGTGTTAATTACTTGATAGTATAAGATTCACAAATGCTAAAGTCATAACTAAAATCAGAATTTTAGCTCTCAATGCTTTCTGGCAAAATGGTCCCCTGCTCCAGTATTTCATGTACAAAATACTGTACAATTTGAAGTCTTCAGGGCACGAAGTCTGCTGGTCCACTGCTTCGTGTAATACTGTACAATTCAACTATAGTGTACTGTTTTGACGAGGCCAAATTAAATTGCAAAATCGAAGGACACAAGTTTGCTGATGCTGTGCAGAAGAAGTGAAAAAAAACCCTTATCTTTGTTTGTACAATTCACATTCCATGGCTGAAATGCAAGGATAGATCAGATCAACTTGTTCATGATGACCTATGTCACAGTGCAGGGATTATCTGTTTTTGAAGCGACAAAGAATGGTAGTGATTAGCAAGAAGATGAATTGTGCAAGAAGAGAGCTGGAATTCTGAAGAATGCATGACAAGAACCACAAATAGTGGTCCATTCTTGTTAAACAAACGATTAATAGAGGGGAGGGACCGTCGGCATATGAGAAAATTTTAGGCAGTCCTAGCTTTCTCTAAAGATGATTCTGAATGGTCACAATCACTCGAACCAGGAACAACAACATCATGCAATCCATTTCCTACCCTGTCATGTCCTGGCCCATTGGCTTTCAGAGAGATGGAAAGAAGTTGGGTTCGTCCACCTTTGTTTCTTCTCAATTTGTGTCAAAAAGATGAGAGAGAGTCTGATGGATGAAAGTGACAGGCATTAAAACCATAATCAAGAGATGAAAGCTTTGTAGACTGAGATTATGCAATTGGCAGGGAAGGAAACGAGGCCCCATGTACAAATTCAAGTCCTTTCATTCATATATTTTTAAGGAAATTGATAGCAGCTGAGTAGAGCAAACTGTGAAGCCTAGAAGATAAAAAAGTGAAAATTGAACAAGATAAAGAGATCATCTGCTAGATCATTTAAACAACAAATTCAGCTTTTCTGTAGGTCTTAATCTATTACCATTTATATTTGTAAAACACTCACCAAATGTCTTCATCAAATTGCCAATTTACAGTAACCACACATTTCAATGACTTGCAGGTCTGCATCAAAAACCAATTACATTACGTAGGAGATTAACACCAATCGCTATCAGTTCTTGTTTACCATTCTTGCTGCCTGCAAGTCACAGAAGAAAAATAAACTGATCCCATTACAAACTTGCAGAACCGCAGGCTTTGGGTCATGAGGCAGCCAGGGAGCACCACAAGAGACCTCATCGAGTTTACAGTCATCAACTTTACCCTGAGTCTATGTTCTTCATTGCAATCTGCTAATACTAGATACTAACACAAAGAATAAAACTAAAAATCATACGAAAGATTCAAATTTATATACAGGAGTTACAAACACCTAATAAGAGAGAAACATTTCCTTTCAGTTTTTTTACAATTTGTGAGACCCAAAAGTTTCAAACCTATAACAAAAACCCAACAAAATAGAAAAGGGAACCATATATCTAAATGACCAAACTGAAAGACTACAACTAATTACTGGCTTCAATGGATCTGTCAATGCATAATTGCAATAATTAAAGAAAAAAAAAACAATCTACAACTAGTTAACCCTTCCAGCTCATAATCTGATCAAGAAGCACCAACAATACCATTCCATGGCGTATAATACACACCAAAACAATGTTCCACACCAGAGAAAAATTACTAGGTGGAAACTTAAACCAAATTCAAGTCCAGCCCAATGGATTATCGCCATGACGAAACCGTGAGTAGTGGCACCTTATTCCAAGCTAAAGTTAAGAATCCAGGTTCAGAATCATCAAGAGAATACAAATAACTGTAATTGTAATTCCATAAAAGTATCTTAGCCTGACTCATTGCATAGTGGCTAAGTGAAACCGATTCAAAACCCGAACTTTCCATTAAAACCCTCCATCGTTCTTTATCCTCCATCCTTTCCCTTCTCATTCCAGGCTCCTCTGGCCCTACAACACCAGAAATTCTATGACCCAATATCAATCTCTCAACTTGAAGCCTCTCTGGTGAGTCTCTACTCAAGTTAGGCTCAAGAGACTCAAAAACGGCAGTGTAGTATCTCAAAGCATTCTTAAACCGAGTCAAGTACCCAATCCGGTTCAAACTAACTTCATATTCACCAAGAGTAACAACTTGCGGGTTCAACGATTTAGCCATCTTTAAAGCAGTTTCTACAGCAACTGGAGACTCATCCAACAAATTATACAATTGAAGCATGAAATTGACAGCCAAAACCTCATCTGGCTCAACCCGAAAACAAGATTCATTTAACTCCTGAATTGGAGTCAGAATAGGCTCAAACTCAAAATTCAAATCAAGAAGCTTAGCAAAATCAAGAAGCCTATTGCCAGTAGCTAAAAGAGAAGCAGCTGGATTCTTACCAAGAACTGGAGCAGGTATACCTGAGATCCGAATTCTAACAGGTTTTCCAGCTGAACGTGTAGCTAAAGCTTGTAAAAGAGCAGCCCATTGAACTCCTTGAACAATACCAAAATCAACTATGTGAATCTTGCTTGCTTTCTCAGTTGCTTCAAGAATTGCTTGGTTTGCTGTCAAATGAGCAAACTTTGAATAAGGACAAGCATCATTCAAAGCTTTATAAGACAGAGTGAACTCTTCACTTGCTGTCTGATCAAGATTCTTCAAGTCATCAAGTTTTTCCACAGCAACTCTTCTGCGTAATCCTTCCGCGAAGTAGAAACTAACTCGCTCAACTGGATCACCGTGTTCACTCACCAAGTCCTTCAACTTAAGCAATGATTTCATAGCTTGACCAGCTTTAGACTCGACAAGTTGAGCACACTCAACAAGCGCTATCAGAACCGGTGAGGAAGACAACTCTACTGTTTCTTTTGACCCACCAACGGTCTCATGCTTTACTGTTGGCGGAGGCGGTGGCGGCGACGATGTTGTAGGCTTGATTTCTTGCAGAGGAGAAGATGGGGCGGGCCAGGGCGAGTTAGAGATAACCCGGTTAAGATCAGACGGTGGAGAGCAGCCAACAGGAAGTCGACTGGGGCCAGTGTTAAACGGATCAGAAGTGTAAATCCCAAAATCAGTATTGTTTTGCCACGCGTCACAACCAGAAGGAAGATTAGAACTATCCGTTGAATCCCCACCGTTCATTAAACTATCCATCCACTCATCCGAGTCAAACTCACCACCAGCTCCAGCAAAATCAGGAAACCGAAACCCACTCGAGTGGTGGTGCTCTATGTTCGAGAAGCTAAACCCAGGTGCGTCACCTGTATCTGGTCCACTCTGAAACGGGTCAGAGAAAGCAACCGGACCCGAGAGCCCATAGCCCAAGTTTGGGTTACCAGACATTATAGTGCTGGGCCAAGGATTTATAGTAAAAGGGTTTAGGCCAAGAAACTGCTGCTGCTGGTTATGGTGGTGGTGGCTTTGCTGCTGCTGTTGTTCTTGTTGTTGTTTTTGCTTAATAACTTGTTGGGCTATTGCCATGAGATTTCCACTATCTGCACACATATATGCCATTCTCCGGCCAACCTTGCCGCCGGGTAATTAACTGCAAGTTACATTGACAGAAAACATTGTCAGTAAAGAAAGTGTGACTGAGACTTGAAATGGTGAATTCATCGTGTAAAAAACACAGTTAAAGAAAAGGAGAAAGAGAGAACGTACTTGAGACTAGAGGTCAGAGAAGGAGAGTGATCAGCAGCTGGATTTGGTGATGGCAGAGATGGGGAGGGAGAGAGAGAGAGAGAGAGAGAGGGAGGGAGGGCGGAGGGAATAGGTGCCAGTGAGAAAGAGAGAGAGAGTGGGACTTTTAAGTGTGAGAAGAGCGAGCTCAACGTTCAGAATGGAGGTGGACAAACGATGATTAAAGGAGTGGGGGCCACTTATTCGATTGGGAAAAAAAAACAAAAAAAATGATTTTAAGGACACAAATAGCTATACATTTTTGTATCTAATAACTATTTTTTTTAAAAAATCGAATTTTATGATTTCAATTTAATTAATTATTATATAATAAAGAAAATTTATTTTTATTATACAGCTTTCAAAACCCGTGAATCTTTAAAGAAAAAAAAAGGGATTTTAGGGTGCTGCTAATGGGACCTGGAGCAATTAGTATTTCATAGGCCTAGCTAATCTTAATTTCGGTGTTAAGGTAAGACGGAATCCTAAAATATTACTATTAAATACGTTCTTTTGGTGAGTATGAGGTGTAGTGTTTTATTTTTCTTGAAAAATGAAATATACAAATGGAATGAGGAAAATGCATTTCGTCATTCGCACCACGCGTGTGGAAAAAGAGAGAGTAGCATTTTCTAACTAAAACCTTAGTAAAAACTTTTACATGAATAAGAAAAAAAATAATATTGATTCATTTAATATTAAATTAATATTTTAAAGGTAATACAAACAAATAAGTAAATACGTTATCTTAAATTCACTGTGGTAGAACCATTTTGTCTTCTTCGAAATGGACTTTCATGTCGAGCCACTTATGTTCAATCGCTTCTTGATAATCATGGTTATCTTTTACAGCAATCTCTCTAACACAAATGAAAACTATAAAAAATCATAAATAAATAAAAAAAACGTCTAATGATTATTGAAATAATATATTAAAATAATTATAATATTTTAAACAAATAACTTATTGATTATTAACGATCGAAACTCGCTGCCGACTATTAAAGTCTCAGGAGCTCCTTGGATCAACAGATACATCAACAGATGAGGGACCCTTGATGGGCAACAGGGAGAGCCCTTATGGCAGGAGGAATGATCATGGAGGGAGACCACATTAGAGCCAATGCAGAAGTGCTAGCTCCAAAGGAGGAATAAGACAAACGTTCCACACCATTAGACCATTGTAGAACACCAAAAGATGGAGATCCACGTCCGATGCTGGATGGGGAAGCACGTCCATTGCCGTCAGTTGAAAACGTACATCGACGACTACCAGATCGTGATTCCTGAGAGAACACACACACACACACACACACACACACACCAAATTGTTCAATCCTTTTGACAAACTAATCATTTAACAACTCATCAACTACCTTAACATTCATCTACTGTTGTTTGTAATATTCATTTATTGTTGTTCGGATCTCATTTTTTTAATGTTTACAAAAATTACATAACACATGCGGAAAACGTCCGATTTTCAAAATAAAATACACAACACATGCAAATATTTTCAACTAATCAATATCACAAAAATATCAACCAACTATCAATTTATAAACACCGAGATCGACACTTGTCTCAAATGATCTATTGAAATTAAATTTCAAACTCGCCCTCCTAGCTCTATTGTAGAGTATTGAACCAACCTTATTTCTTCTCAATTTCCAATGGTCTCGGACCCTTAGGTTCGATACGTTAAGACATATCTCGACACACCTCAACAATAATAAAACAAATAATTAAAGTATATAACTTCAATTCAAAGCAAATTTGAAATAAATTATGTTTTAAATGCACTTAACAAATCAATCAAAATTAATCTAATTACATTTAAAATAATATTAGTTAGCCTAACAATAAAATTAAAATGTAACAAATTTGAGAAAATAAACTTAATTAAATTAACTTTAATAAAAAATAACACAATTGATCAAAATTGACCTAACTTCATTTAATACTAATTCAAATCAATACTAATTAATCAATATCAATATACTTCATTTAACACATAATTAATTAAATTAACCTAATTAAAATTAACCTACCTCAATTAGAACTAATTCAAATCAACATAATTCATTTAAAATTAATTTAGGTTAACCTAATTAATCAACTAACAATTAATTTAAATTGACCCAAATTTAAATTCAAATTAACATAATATAATTCGCCCTAATTAAATCAACCTAATTAATCATCTAATAACTAATTTAAATTGACCATAATTAACTCTATTTGAAATTAACCGAACTAAAATAGCACTAATTCAGAGTTAATCAATTAAATTAACAAAAAATCCTAACAACTAACAAAACCGAGTAAATTAACTAATTAATCAAAAACTAACCTAACAATTAACACAAATAGCTAATGGGTATGAAAAAAATTGGAAAGAGAACTAACCTTTGGAGACAACAAAGGAGAAAAAGGAGATGGATTAAACTCTCTGCTTTGTGTGGAGATAGGAGTGCTACATCGGTAGGAGTTCTGTCGGTAAGGGAGTGGAGTCGCATTGTGTGGTGGTTTTGGGGATGTGCGGTTAGTGACAACAAGAGGAGAAGAGGAGGGGATGGAAGAGGAAAAGGAAAACGGGAAGGAAGAAAGAGTTCGATGATTTAAGGATTAAGAATTAGTGATGAACGTGATTTCGATGCTAATTGGCGCTTCATTTTTTGAAATTTTCATAAACGAGGGAAAGTAGTGACGGAACCTAGGGTTTGTGTCAAAAAGCAACCATGCCGACCCAACAATAGGAATTAACAATGAAATTCTTATTCCGTCACTAATTTTCCTCACAAATCCATAGCTAGATTAGGCACGTATTTTTCCCATGTGACTTAGCGATAGAACACTATTTGTCACTAACATTCTATCGCAATTTCATTTCTAAACTTTGCATTTCATATTGGTTGTCATTTTGTCGCAAAACCAAAACCTTCGTTAAACGGCGATGGTTTTGCGTCCGTCGTTAATTTTCGATGCTAATCCTTGATTTTCTTGTAGTGTGTATCAATCAAAATTACTTTTCTTTCGAGTCCTAACAAAAGGTGGTTGCTTTAATTATTAATTATTTTTTTAGATGCTGTAGGATATTCTAGGCTCGGATTAATCTCTCATAGTTCGATCATACATACAAGGTGAATGCAATTATTTAAGGAGTTTTATGCGTATACGAGAATTTAAATGCGAGACCACTTGTTTAAACGACTAGAGTTCTCTTTGTCCAAGTCAATCTTCTCCGATTGCTTTAATTTATTTGTTAAAATATTTTACTTCCTACTTTATTTATTTCCTTCTACAAATTTCTACGTATAAAATAAAATAGAATTTTATTCATGGATAAACCTTCATCTAATCCCAAACATATATATATTTATTCTCAATTAAGTTTCAAATTTATAAATTTTCTTAATTAGGTCCTAGATGTTTCAAAAGCTTTACATTGAGTTTTTTTATTTATGTTCATCAATATTTTTATCAAATACTATTCAAATTATTGTCATTTTAGTATATAAATATACAAATTAGACTGGAAAAAAATGTTAATAGTTATTAACTTTTATGTCAACATCGATTTATTACATAAAATCTGCATTTTGGGCATAAATTATTAAAAGAAAATTGATAAAAAGACTTGACTGAGAAATATAAAAAATGTTAAGGATTTATTTGACAAAATTTATAGATTTGGAATGCAATAGATAATAAATATATAGGTTTAAAACTACATTGAAGTGTTTCTCCTTTCTAAATTACTTATATCACATGCTCTAATCGCTCATATTTGCACATGAAAATTAACAAGCCTTAAAAACGTGCTAGATTAAAATTGTTTGACTAAAGTGTTTGCAAAAAATAAGTATTTAAAGTATCTTCTCAGAGTAAAAACCATAAAAAAACCTAACTTTCAATAAAACAATTGTCTAGCTATGGCGTGTGTCATTTGCAAGCTGCAACACTTTCCATTCCATTTGCTTATTGATTTACATTTTTTGGTGCTCTCAAGAACTCTTTTAAATAGCAAGTTGTAATTTTCATTATTTTATTTTATTTAAATGGGTAAAAATAATAATTTGTTTGCATTTCTTTTAATGTTATTGGAATTTTTATTTTCCTTTCTTTTTTTTTTAAAGTATTTAAGTCGTTTAATACGGTTTTTAATATTACAAATCATTTTGTATCGAACAATAGATTAATCATGTTATAATATTAAAAATGTATCAGTTAATTGATGTGTATGAATTTTGTTTATGAATGGTTAAAAATTAAATTTTACAATAATTATGCATAAATTCGATCTTTAAAGTGTCGATGTAGATGATAAATTTATTTTTGATATTTTCAATTAAGTTTAAAATCCATAAACTAGACTTCATAAACTAATTTTTTTAGTTCGGCACAAAAATATTTTTAAATTAATCTATACATTAATCGAAATTATTTTTTTCAACAATTTTAAAAATATTTTTTTCCTTTATGTACATTACACAAACTAATTTAAAGAATACTCAAAATATTAAAAAAAAATTCTTCAGATTAATATCAATGGTAACCCAAAATAAATTTCTATCAAAAAATGATGAAAGACGCTACGTGATGGATCGTACCTTCCCTACCACAGTTTTTATGGTTTTTCCGCACCTTCTTTTTCTTTCTATTTAGCCTTGAGAGTCGCAGCTGTCGTGCTGGTCGGACCCTCCCTTCTCGACATGACAACACCCGGTCATCAATGTCCACGTGCACCACTTTTTTATTTTAGCCTTAATTTTTCGCTCCCGCTCGATTCGGGTACCTTGACTGGGGTCCACATACCACTTGACACGTCGATAGTTATACGGCGCGTCGGTGTCGCCGTCTAAATGACGTCATCTGTTGTGATCTTCTTGGGGAATGTAAAGTAAATATCGACCGTCCATTTTGGAGATCTAGCATCCTCATTTACCAAAAGGGGACTGCGCCACTTACTGTGGTTGGAGATCTAGCATCACCTGGATTTGTATCCTGACACGTACGCACCTTTTTTTTCATTTCTAGATGATTAATATTTTTTAGTTATTTACAACTTAGTCCCTTAACCAGAAAAATTAATTACTGCCCGTAAACTGGAAATATTAAATAGTCCCATATCTGACATTAACCATCCTAAATTTAGTCCTGTTTAATTTCGAAACTGTCTTCTTTCTTTACCATTTTTTTTTCATTTTATCTTTTTTTCTAAATAAAAAAATAAGATTGATGCAAGGATTAGTTATCTCCAAACATAAAATTAAATATATGGTTACTAGGTGGGTTTTGTTCATGTTTGATCCCTATACTTTTTACTTTATTAATTGAGTTTCTTTACTTTTTATTTTTACCATTTTTATATTATGGCTCTATCGGTTTGTGAGCTAGCGAGGCACATTATTCTTCTAAATGTGCAATATGGAGCATATATAGAATCTCAATAAAATGATGCTATTAGTATAAAAAAGAATATGAGATTTCAATCAAAATAATTTAAAAAATATAAAGATTCAATATTTTTTTTTTTTTTTTTGCATTTCATGTTATTATTATTTTTTTTTAAAAAATTCATTTCAATGTAAGGAATTTGTCATATGTAGGGCCCATCAGAGTGAGACCGTGAAAGACATTTTTTTAAAGGAAAAAAATTGTTACAATAAGTTTAAAATAATACGTAAGAAAAAAACGAACCTGACAAATAACTAATAAAACAAAAATATAATAAAATACAATAATGTGCAATATTGATCGGCCATAGACCTCTAATTACTAAGTCTAATCCTCCACAAAAGTGAGGAATTTTTAATATTTTAACTAATATTGAGTGAAAAAATAAAGTTGCTTCTTCAAAAAAAAAACTAAAGGCTACAAAATTTTTTTCTCTTTTAATATGTATAATTAACTACTAGTTAGCATTATTGTTATTTTCATTTTAGTTTTAACAAACATATTTCTACTCTCTCTCTCTCCGTATGTTTTTAATTATTTTATTATTGTCAAATATCATAACAAATTTATGACACGCAAAAAGTAAAAGAAAAAAATAATTTAATTTATGTACCTTTTGAATTGTTTTAATTTATATATATATATTTTTTTATATTGGTTGAGTCTTTTTATTAAAATCTCATATATAGCACATGTCACATGTTAAGAAGGATAACATTCCAAACTAGCTCATAAACTAGTAACACTGTGACGATGAAATGTAATAAAACAAAAACAAAAAATAAAAAAACTCGATCAATACAAAAAATAAAAAAACTCAATCAATATATATTAAAAAAAATTGAGGTTTCAATAAAAAAGATTCAAAAAATACAAGTATCAAATATGAGCAGAAATGATTAGTTTTGAAAAAACATAAAATTATCAAACATATAATTTCTAAAATCAATAAATAAAATTGATTTGTTTTTGTCAACTCCCAAGACTAAGTTACAATCAACTTTTTTTTTTTTTTTTCAGATTTACAAAGTCCTCATAAGGCATTTAAAAAAGACAAAAAAATTTGTTTTTGCCCATAACATTCTTCTCAAAATAAATCTCTTTCATCTCTCCACCGAAATTTGGACATAACAGTGAAATGAATTAAGGAAGATAAAATCATACGATGCAGTCCAAGAATCAATAAACTTCAAAGTAATTGAATTCGACAAGTACAATGGTACTGATCAATAGAAAAAAACAAAGATACGTTGAAATCCCAATCCAAACACTATTATTATTCCTCGGGTAGGTGCAAAATAATTCATACCCACGATTCCTTGGATTTTTGGAATTCAAAATCTAATCCAAGTCTCGATCTAAAAGTTAATGAAAGTTGGCAAAATAAAAATAGCAACAAGAAGCCTAATGGGTTTAAGATTATACAGCATGGAAACTCGCAAATCCCTCACAATTTCTGGCTTGGAATCTCATATATTTTTTTATCTTTGGATGTATCTCACGTTTAAAAATTCAGATAAATTTTTTTATTATTTTATCAAATATATAAGATAAAAAAATATATATATATATAAAATGACTCGAATTATTATATCCTTGAGGCCGATTGTTTGTTTTTTATTCATATATCGACAAGTGTCTCGAGTGTTCCTTCAGGGTTGTTAATTTAGCCTTTTGTTTCGAATTGGTCAAGAGATGGATAAGTAAAAGTAGAGATAAAAAGAGAATAGAAAGGTGAAAAACTGATCAAAGGTGAAGAAAGAGGACTCTATTGATAAAAGTGGGAAGAGTTTGCCAATTAAGTCCCGTTCTTTATGGGCGGTTGATGGACCCACGGTGGGACCCTAATGCCTAAGACTATTTCGGTAAAAGCAGTACAAAATGGGGTCCACCCAAAGCTTGCACCAATGGAAGTGAAATAAAAAGCAACGGTGGAGGATACTTCCACAAAGAGACGAGCATTTTTTTTTTAATTAAAATCGAAAAATCGAATTTAATCGAATTAATAATTTTATATTGGTTTTATAAAAATTAAAAAAAAACTGAAATTATATTTTTTTATTGTTCAGTTTGGTTTTTTTTTAAATTCGATTTTTAGCGAAAATTGAATTAGTGATTTTTTTTTAACACATGCTTCTATAATTTTTTTTTTGTTAAAACTTAAATTCAAATTATTAGTATTCCTCGAAAATAAAAAAATACAAAAAAGTGACCTTTGAATTTAGTCAAAAAGAAAATTCAGATGAAAAAATCTATATAAAAAAGATTTTTGACTGAAAATCGAAAAACCAAATCAAAAAATTTTATATTGGTTTTATAAATTTTTTTAAAAAAAAAACTGAAATTTTTTTTATTGTTCAGTTTGTTTTTTTTTTAAATTCGATTTTTACCGAAAATTGAATTAGTGATTTTTTTTAACACATACTTCTATAATTTTTTTTTTGTTAAAACTTAAATTCAAATTATTAGTACTCCTCGAAAATAAAAAAAAATACAAAAAAGTGTCCTTTGAATTTAGTCAAAAAGAAAATTCAGATGAAAAAATATATATAAAAAAGGTTTTTGACTGAAAATCGAAAAATCGAATCAGAAAATTCAGTTTTCTAACCGAAAAACAAACCTCAATTCGATTTAATTTTGATTTTGATTTTAATCAATTTGATTAGCGAAAAAAAAAATCAATATCGAATAAAAAACGAAATGATCACTTCTATTTCGAGGGGAGGTTGCAAAAATGGAAAAATCCAAAGGACAACAGTGAAAGCAAGGCTAGGATGGATGGGTTATGGTTTAGGCATGGATCTGTGGTGTGGTGTCTCCAGGTCAGGAAGACCCCCAGTCAACTTGCAACGTCTATATTTGGCCTTTGCAATTTACTACGAAAAGGCTATAGTGCTGCGCTGTGTCTTTATTTTTTATATTTATAAAACCAGGATGCAACTTTTGAAGTGTCTGCTGATGAAACGTTTTGAACCTTTGAGCGATCAAAGCTGTGATCTCTGCAGCAAAAGAAAGAATAAAAAAAGATTTAGACAGCTATTAGCCCAATTAAAATTCATGTTCATGATTTGGGTTGGTTTGTTTCTATCGTCAGCAGCCGTAAAGGAAAAGCTGACACAAATTGGCTCGGCCAATAATATGACCCGTTGGATCTCTTAGAAGATAAACCAATAACATCCCCAATTTTTTAAAAAATTTAGTTTTTAATCCTAAGTTTGATAAAAAAAATATTAATTATACTACTCTTCGAGCAAAAACTTATTACATAGAAAATATACATTTCGCATCAAAATATATAATTTTCACCCCATAAAATATATGAAATTTTAGATGATAGTTTTTTTTTTTGGAAGAAAACCTCAAGTTTTTTTTTTTTTTTTAAGTCGCTTTTCAATTTTAAAAACCATTTTAACTATTATTTATCTTATCATGACTCATCAATTCAGCTATTAGATTGATTATTCAATTAGTAACTAGATAAACCTAAATCTTAAAATACGCAAAAATCTAACTCAAAAAACGCTTTTATTGCTAAATAAAATAAATAAATAAGCCTAACTCTTGACCAAGTTGAATCCTTAACTATATTTGACAACTGTGAGCATAGTGGGATGGTTAAATAGGTTTTCGGCCACAAAGATTTCAACTTTATGCTATGTTTGTTTATCTTATAGGTATGTTTGGTTTTTTTATTTTTCTATTGTTTACTACTTTCCTTTAAATCAAAGTAATTAAAAGCATAAAAAAAGTGTTTGAAGATAATTTTAAAAATCAACTGCTTAACTTTTGAGAATAGAATATAATTTTAATAAAAGCAGCTTAAAAATATATTAATTTCCATCTCACAAAGCATGGAAGTTATGCTTTTTGAGATAGATAACTACTTATTTTATTTAAAAATTTAAAATAATATTAAAAAACTTTAAATGACAAAAATGTTAGTGTTGCATATTTTACGTTGATATACATTTCTTTTTTGTACCAACGTTTAAACAAAGATATCATATGATATTTTGATTAATTTTTTTTTTCAGAAGTAAGGATATTTTCAGGCTAATTTTTGCACACTTCAAGAATAATCCATCTTCGGACGTGATTAAAAAAATATTCCTCAACATATATAATCTCGAATATTTTAAAAATAAAATTTTTAATAATATTGATCATAAAAATTGAACGCTAATATTTACTTACGAGTATATTATTATCTTATAGTTTTTAATTTATTTTTAATTTATATTTTTCATGATTTTTGATTTTAACAAATAAATTATTTTCATGTTTTTAAGCAATTTATTTTAATTTCTTAATGAAAATCTTGAAGGTCCAACCTCGCTTATGTCAAAAGGTGCGTCCTCTTATCGTCAGTGAAGCCTTCTTGGACTCAAATCGTCGAAGAAGGACGACGTTAATTGGATTATATCATAGGATCGAAGATCTAAGTGCAAAGCGTAGAAAACTCTGCATCTAACAAGCGGACAAAATTTCATGTCATAGTCCACCGTTGTTAGTTGTTTGATACGACAGCAAATTGCTGCAGTCTAGTCCATGCCACCCTTATAATTTATGAAGGCCCACTACCTTATCTGCAATTTGGTTTTTCTAATTCTCATTTTTGTTATCAAACAGTAAAGATATCTTTATGTTGTTTTGATTAAATTTATAATTTAAAAAGCATAATTATGATATCAATTTTATATATTCAGAAGAAATTAATATTTTTTTAAAAAATTATTTCAAAATTTAAATGCAAAAAGACAAAAAAAAAAAAAAAAACCTTCAAATCATTCCCTAGATTTTATTTCTCAATTTTGTTCACTTCGCTTGTATCTACAATTACAGTTTCGCCGTTGCAGGCTTATGGATCAATTTCCCTCTTATAGTCAACGGTTTAGCGGTAATAAATTCAGTTGATCTTAGAAAAAGTTCATAACAAAACCAAAAATAAATAAATAAAAATCACAATATGGTAGTGTGCTATTAAAAAAGTATTGACTTGTAAGTAAGGTATATGATTTGATTTATGTGGATAGCATTTTTGAGAATTTATTTTTAAAATACTTAAGGTTATGCGTTGGAGAGTGCCTCTTAGATAGGTGCAAAAATGGATTATTCTTGAGGTACACAAAAGCTAGTCCAAAGACGATAAATTTTATAATACTTAAGGAGTAATTAGTATAAATTGCTTCATAAAAAGAGATAGATTCAACAAGAAGAGAGAAAAAATTAAAAAAAAAAAATTGAGCCAATATGGAAATGTTTTTATTACTTCTAGTGGGTCCATATGTAATTCTTTTTTATGTATCCATCTCTCTCGTAAAAAATAAGCTCATGGAATAACAACTGTACACGTATACTTAGTTACTACTTGAGTATTATAAAATTTCTCATTTAAAGACATCCTTATTGTTGAACAAAAAAATAAAAATTAAATAAATAAAATTGTGGTGTTCACATTAATCATACCAACAGAACCTTTATCATGTCTGTCTTATTATGTATTATTTAGTGTTGTGTTGTGAGATAAAAATATTTTTCGATAATTAACTATTTTAATGTATTTATAAATATCTAAAGTATTTAAATGATATTTGATTATAAATTTATTATTGTGCTTTTGAAATATAAACCGATCGATAAACTTTATCGTAGTATATTAAAACAAATTTAACAAAAAAAATGTATATATTATTTATTTGAAAACAAAGAAGATATTAAAAAAATATATTAATTAGATTATAATACAAAAATATCATGTTTTTCCAAGATTTCAAACTTCACAAGCAATTAGGAGCAATCACGACAAAGATAGTTGTAACTTATGTAATTTTATTGAATTTCTACACCATTTATTTTTATCTCTTGTTTGTATGGGTTCGCTAAATTCTCTAGGGGCTACATTTCTTTTTTCTTTATGAATGAAAAAAGTTCATTAATCAAGCAACTTGTGCAAAAAATTTGAAAGCAGAAGAAGTATATTACTGCTGAAATTGATACAAAAAAAAAAAAACAATTACTTAAAACTCATTACAAAGATTCCTATACTGACAAAAAAGATTATATTTAGAATTTTCTAAGACTTTAGTTAGTAGTTTAGTGCATTTAAACCTTCTTTGCATACTTGTGATGGTATTTTTTTTAAAAAGTATCATTTTTTCCTCTTGTAACATTGAGAACTCTCGCATTTCTAGCTTTCCAAACAAAATAGATATATGAGCACTAAACAATTCGTAAGATACTTGTGTCAAATTTCTGCTTTTGCAAAAATTGTTCAACCTAGTAAAATTCATCATTCCAAGAACTCATTTGATGATTAATGCTACAAAAGAGTAAACCTTGTTGCCACACAGATTTTGTTATACGACATGCAATGAAAAATATGATCTTTATCTTCATCTACAAGATTGCACATATCACATTTGGTGTCAATCACCCTTCCCTTCTTAGCTTGCTTGCACTTGGTAATTAATCTATCCAGGATAGCCAACCAACAGATGAAGCTATGTTGGGATGTGAAGGCTTCGTCATAATAACTTATACCAATCAATAATTATGCCCTTCTTCCTTATAGCTTCCCACCTTCTTTTAGCAAAAAATTGGCCATTAGAAGTGAGATTCCCAGAGACAGCATCTTCTTAGAAAGACTATGGATAGTCACATTATAAATCATACTCTGAACAAGCAATATTTGATTGCTTATAATAGCAAGTCACTTCCAATCATCACCATGAACTACTTTTGATAGCATTGTATTTGTGGAAATCCTAATATTACTTCTACAAAGGCAATTTGATTTAGGTTAGTAAGTTAAGGAAGGCATACTTTTAGCCTATTTGCAATGATTTTGGAGATGCACTTGTACAAGGTTGAACAAAAAGATATGGGTATATAATCAATTCAGTTTGTTATGATAATACAACCCCATCTTCTAATTTGTCATCGTAATACGATCCTCTGTTTTTTTCTTCTAACTACTAACGCTAATCTATTAACGTTTAACAATTGAATTGACCACGGGTTCTTATTTATAGAAAAAAATAAAAAATTTGCGTCATAATTGTGGATGAAACAGGCTAATTAATTACAAGCTACCATATCCGCTCTTGTTTAATGAAAAAATAATGCACCATATTTGTGCATAATATCCATGCATCGACCACAAATAACTATAAGAAAATGGCAAAATTAAGCAACAAAAAGTTGACATTACTATTCTTCCATTGAAAAGCACAAACAAAACAGTCCCAATGGCTACAAAGTCCATGGCGTGCATTAGCTTCTTTCTGCACGGATTTGGGTACTCTAGCAACGTTAGGTTTAGAGGTGGGGTTAGCATCAGAGATTAATGGAAATATAGGGTTAGGTTTCATCGGCGGAAAAAAAAGCCACTAAGTATCTGTTTGATATCGTCATATCGATGTGTTGTGGTTGTTGTGTTGTATTGTTGTGATATAAAAAATGTATTTGGTTAAATTATATTAATTTTCTTTTAAGATACAAATGACCAATAAAAATTGTACCAAAAATATTTAAACAAATAGATACAATTTTTATTAAATGATTCATGAATTATTAACTTATGTAAAACGTGAATCTATTTTTTTTTATTAAAGTAATTCTTAAGTTAAAAAAAAGGATGATAACATATATATAATATATATAATTTAGATATGTAAAAACACTAGTTTTTTTTTTTTTTTTTTGGTACGTGTACTTAAAAAAATGGAAAAGGTTATCATTTTAATCAAAAAATAAACTCCACAATAAACAGTTGTGTTTTTGGTTAAAATAGAGTATCCTATTTTGTTTCAAAATTAAGCAAATTAGTTCTTTTTTAGAGTGATAAATATTTGAATTTCAAAGAAAAAATAATATTAATCAAACACTATATCAGACAAAAAACAATTAAAAAAAATTGTGCTTAAAAAATTAAGTAATACCAAATAGTCACTAAATGTAATTCAGTAATTGTACACCATAATTGGCATCATTAGGCGCTGCCTAATTATAGAGACTACAATTAGTTCAAATGTCAACTAAATCCACTGGCGAGGCCACGTGTAATTGACCCCCCTCAATTTCCACAAAATTAATGCATTTGTAGAGTACGGTAACAGCACAAAAAAATAAGTATTTGTTGAAAAAATAATTGTAATCGTAAAAGATTATTACGGTAATGGTAAAAATAATAGAAAAAAAGATGATAAAAAAATAATTTTATTATGAAATAAAGAGAATATAAGAGATAATGAATTCAAATAATTTTTTTAATTTTTACAAAATACTTATACTTAAATTAATAGACAATCGAACCTATTTATAAGTTTTAAGATTACGAAAAAAATTAAAAGAGACTATGAACGATTAAAGGTGCATACATAATTGAATCAATTGCATTGTTTTTTCATATTGAATGGTGAATTGAATTCATGAGCAAGTAAGAATATGAAATGATTATGAATATTTATTATTTCGTAACAGTATTTTACGTAATTGACTTTCCTCAAATAATAAGAAATGCAATACCAAGTGGTCGACTTTGTATTTTTCTAGAAAAAGTTATTGAATGCTTTATATTTTAATTGTTTATTTGATATGTATATATATATATATATATATATAAAAGATCATTATTAGACAATTGCATAATTATGCTCACTATCTTCGATGCCTTGAATATTAATAGATTCTAAGAATTTATCAAGTACTATTTTTTTTTTGGCTAGGCTTATTGTGAAAAAAACACAAATTTTACTTTTTTTTAATCATATTAAGACAATTTTTTAATGTTGGACAAAAAATACATAGATTAAAATTATGTTAATCATATTAACACGCGTGATTTTTCGATCAAAATTCCGATATAATTAACAAAATTTTAATATATGTATTTTTTGTCTAACATTGAAAGAACATGCTAACATGATTAAAAAGTATAAATTTTATATTTTTTTTAATACAACAAACCTTTTTGCTATATATGATTGTGTTTACATTTTGCCACTTATACTTGAAATCATCCCTCAATGCCGTTTTATTTTATATTTTGATAACTTAAAAGTAAATATTAGTTATTTTGCTTATATCAATATATGTAAATAATTTATCACGTTTTTTCAATTTTTGATTTTTTATTTTTTTAGTATTTTGAGATTTCATTCAATTTTTAAGATACTTAAAAAATTATAGTATAAGTTTTTTAAACGATCCTAAGGAGAATAATTTCTGACTTCGTCACAGACTACATCTCATCCACGTCCAGCACGACTCAATACAACTTGTTGCTTTATATACAAATCACACACATATAATATGTTATTAATACTATTTCCCTCGTGGAGTAACTAAAAACAAAATTGAAAATGAAAGCAAGATTATTCAAAACCCATTTATCATATGTGTATATATATGAGTAGCATGGTATCGATTAAATAAATCATGTTTTAGAATAAATTAACATCAAAACATATT